TCCTTATAACATTTCTACTAAAGCCATATAACTTCATTCCAACATTCTTCTAACATTCATTAATTTTACCATATTTCTATAAATAGTCTTTAAACTTTTTCCAGTCTTCTTCCCCCGACTCTTCTCCCTGGTCTCGGATCTTGCCAGTCATTTCCGCTAATTCCATATAGTCCATCAACTTCATCTGCCATTGTCCAACCCTTCAGTGCTTTCAAGCAGCATCCATTCTCTCAGCCAGCAAAAAGCAGATGGTTCACAACAAAGTTTAGGGGTCTGGCAGGGCAGGTCCACCTCCTTCTTTGGCATCCGTCAATATCTTAAATTTTACTCATGGCTTCCTGCCCTGCCAAACAAATCTAGAAACGTCCCTCTGCCACCTCCTGGAACAATCCATCCCATCCAAATCTTGCAATGTTTGAAACAAAAGCAACATCCCCGAGAACACAGCAATCCTCATTCCCACCACAGCAACTCGACCCAACAATAACAGCTTCAGATTTGGCCATATTTCCAAATCCCCCTTCTCTTCAATCCAACGTCCTTCACAGTTGTCCTTGAATAAACTCACATTTCTGGCGGTCATACTAACCCCCAAAAACCTCTCTTTCTCCACCGATGTTAGTCCTGTCTCCTCCTGGAACTCAGTCAAACTTTCCTTTTCCTCAAGTAGGGCCCTGATCCTCAAATTCATCTGTTTTTCTTTAAGTTCAATCATAACAAATGTCAGGTTATGTTCACCAATTTGTCCTTGTATGGATGGAACTCTCTCTCTCTCTCTCCAGTTGAATTGCTTTAAATTCAGCAGCAAGGGTTTTCTCCTTAACTTCATCCGCAGTTTGCCGTATCAGAGTAGATTCCTGTATCAATTTCTGGATGGTTTCTGTGTTGGTATTCACCTTTTGTCCCAGATTATTTAAACTTTCTACCATTAAGTCTATTTTAATATTTGCAGCATTTACTTTCACATTCATCAAATCTGTTTTCTTGTGAAGCTGTTCCAGCGAATCGTTTATTTTCAATAATGCGACTACTAAGGCCTCTTCTGTCAACATTTCGTCTATTTTTTCCTTTCCATTTGCCATAACACTTAAGAGACTCAAGGTCAATCCCAGAGTCTCACACTTCTTATCTTGCAGCTGGAAATTCCCCTAGCCCAGCTCCTATGGAACAACCAATTTCAAAAACTTCCACTAGGGGAAACAGTTTCTATTTGTATTAGTCAGTACTGTCCTCTTTTAAACAATGTTCCAATAATCCAAAGTTAGTTTGAGTTTTCAGTTACTTTTACTCCTCTTTAAAAGCAGCCGGGAACAGTAGAAACAATGTATTCTCTTATTTCGCTACCTGTCCATGAACGTTCTAAACGCTGTCAATGAACATTCCAAAAGCCATCGATCCTACTAGCAGCCCGTTTCCAGGGTCTGAGCAGCGGTATTTTAACTGTCTTAACTCTCTCCTGGTACAGGCATATTCAGTCCACCACTCCCCCCCCTCTTCTCCTGTCTCCAAAAAGGGGGGGGGTTAGTTCTTTGCTGATGGAGATTTTAGTCTTTTTACAAAAGGGTTTCCAAGACTTCAGCTTGCAGGCTCATTGCTTTAATTTATTTACAAAAGGGGGAGGCGGACTTCCTGTGTTGAACCTCCCTGTTTCGATGCCAAATTAAACATTTAAAAATCCAATTCTCCCACTTCAGCTCTACTCACGGGTAATTACTTTAGAGTCCAATTGTCCACAAGAAAAAGTCAGCGCTCTCTGGCAACAGCTATGCGGCTTCGCTCCGTGGAAAAAGCAGACGATTCGAAGCACCACGCCGCTCACCCCACGTCGCTCCAGATCCCCGAAACCGGGTTTCCCCGCGAGTAGGGGAGGCGCAAAAGGTGCCTGCCGAATCCCACGTTCACAGGCTTCTCCCGCCTGTGATTTTTATGGGTCTCTGCCTTCGCCGTGGTGGTACAGACCCAAATTCCCACGGGGCAAGTTCCTCCCGATCATAGGAACTCCACCATTGCCGGAGGCACCAACCCGGAAGTCCCCCAATGGTAAAAATATATCTGTCCAAATTTGGCTGATGTTTGGCATCTAGTACACCAGCAACCACCAGCCCGGCACTCTGAGCTTTCCAGAAATAAATTTAGAATTTCAGAAGTATTTAAAATTATATAGGAAGAACACCAACCCTATTGACTGAATTAGAATAATAAATTGAAAAAATAGGAGTGTTATTCATAAAACGAAGTCCATGAAGAACGAGACCAGATGATTTTCTTACAGAATGGTATAAGACATATTTAGATTTTTTTTTTGGCCCCTAACTGCCTAAGCATATTATTTAAGGAAAACGGGGGGAAAGGGGGGAATAGGCCTGCCAGTGTCAACCTATGGAGCCTATATTTCTCTTATATCCAGGCCTGGCAAAGGCCATACTAGTTATGTAAACTATAGAGCAATATATTTAATTTACGTCCGTGTTAAAATGCTAACAGCCATTTCGACTAATAGATTTCAGACACTGGTTATCAACTGTAGTACATTTTAAATCAAGTGGATTTTATGCAGCATGGACAGGGAGTGGATCATCTAAGACTGGTATCCAATTCCATGGCCATAAATAATATAGAATAGCTCCAGCTGCATTTAAATCTTAGGATGCTGAAGGTATTTGATGAAGTATATTGGCAATTTCTGTTGTTACTTTGGACAAGTTTCAACTTCTTCAAGAATTTATAAAGTTCATAAGAATTTTATGCCTCTTTCTCTAAATAACAAAAAGGGAGAAATGGAATTCTTTTGGATGTGTTTGGTTTGGATGTATTTGATACACTAGGAGGCAGCCCTCTGCCTCCATTGATCTTTGATTTATTTTTGGAACTCCTGGAAAGGTTCCTGAATCTTGGGGGAATTCATGGTTTTGTTCATGTGCAAGTAAGATTTAAAATAGCCTCATGTGCTGATGATTTATTATTATTTATTAGTAGATTTGAAACATCTATACCATAATCAATCAATCAATCAATCAATCAATTAATTAATTACAAAAGTTAATTTTTGTAGTATTTCAGTGCATACAGTTAAATTTGCCAAAATCTGAAATAGTACTAGCGGCCAATTTTAGATCACCTGCTTTGCACACTAATTGGTGAATTTGTTGGTGCCCAGAGGTCTCTACACATTTCTCTCTGAACACAATGTACTTGCTGATATCTGGTGGTGGTTTTAATTTCCCAGACATCCGCTTATATCACAAGGTGCGTTCGTTAGCATGGAAAAATGATTGGCAAATTTATCTTTCTATGAATACCCCCAGCATGGGCAATTTTAGAGATGGGTTGTTAGCAACAACACTCTTTGGATGGCTAGTGAGAATGCAATGGAAAGAAAGGATTCAAACCATCCGTTTTAGCAGCTATAGAGATACGGTGCCTATTTGGCTTGTCAGTTACAATTTGATCCATAGGCAATTAAAACACAAGATAATTAGAAACAGTTAAAAATAAATACATACATGATTTAAAGGAAGACTAAAAGAAAGTAGAGACTCATTGAAGTCCCTGAACACCAAAGGGCTTTAACCCTGGCTCAATGTCATGCCATCCCCTCGGCCATTATTGAAGGCCGATACAGGAAGATTGACTACCTAGATAGACAATGCCCATGTGACCCGGGACAAATGGAAACGGTAGATCATGTCCTTCTCTAATGCCTGTATTACAGAGACATTCATACTAGCCTGATTTCCCCACTACTTCAAAAGTATCCAGGGTGCACAGGACAATTTTACACCTCCCTGCTGCTCTCAGAAACCGATCCTGCCGCAACGTATAGTGTTGCTAGGTTCTGCACAGCAGCACTCGAGAATCGTAGGAGGATGACTTGTGCCACAAATCAGTTTTAATGAACATATCAGAGTGCTCTGTAAATGATAGTTAAAACCTTTATATATCAACCTTTTGTGCTCTCCCACACCTGCCCAATGTTCCTGACCCCTCTTTTGAATTCTTTTAGCTTCTTTTAAATTCTTACAGACTTTTATATTCACCTAGTGTTTTAATACCTTTTCTGTATAGTTAAAGCTATGGTTTTCCCAGTAGTGATGTATGGAAGTGAGAGCTGGACCATATAGAAGGCTGATCGCCGAAGAATTGATGCTTTTGAATTATGGTGCTGGAGGAGACTCTTGGACTGCAAGAAGATCAAACCTTTCCATTCTTAAGGAAATCAGCCCTGAGTGCTCACTGGAAGGACAGATCCTGAAGCTGAGGCTCCAATACTTTGGCCACCTCATGAGAAGAGAAGACTCCCTGGAAAAGACCCTGATGTGGGAAAGATGGAGGGCACAAGGAGAAGGGGACGACAGAGGAGGTTGGATGGTGTTCTCGAAGCTACCAGCATGAGTTTGACCATACTGTGGGAGGAAGTGCCTGGCGTGCTCTGGTCCATGGGGTCCATGGGGTCACGAAGAGTCGGACACGACTAAACGACTAAACAACAACAAGCTTTCTAAATCGCTTTTTAGATTTCAAATGCTGGTCTATGACTGTAATAAAGATTTGTTGAGTAGAGGCTCATGGTAAACACCAATTTATCAGGTTATGAAAGCCCACAGAACAGAAATAGGAATGCTATTCCACAGAATGGGGGCAGCCATGTGAAAAACTCTGCTCTGAGTTGTTATGGAGTGGGCTTCTGAGATCTCTGGAACTTACAGGAGAAACTCTCCTGCAAACTGCCGTGAACTACAGGGTGTTGATCTACTGGGTGATATGGAGGTTTCTCAAATGTCTGGTTCCTGAATTGTGATTGAATCCCACCCACAAATAGTGACAGTGTTGGAAGCATTCCCAATACTTCCGATAGCCCCTGGGATTCCCTCTTAGGAACCATAGGATTGCCGGCCCCAGTGCTCAAACGCTTCTTATGTACGTTCCACCATCACCACAGCTTTCGACACTTCCCATTAAAAGGTAACCCATTCCCTCCATCTGTGATGCATGCAAGGCTACTACTGTCCCCAGACTCTGAGAGATAGCTCCAAATGCTGCAAGAAAAAGGAAAAAATCAGAGAGACATGTAAGGCCAACAACTGACTTTTGGACACAGGATGAAAAGGAAAAAGCCATGGTTCTTCACTTGAAGCCTTTTTTTGGGGGGGGTTTAAATAATATAATAGCACGAATAGAAATCATTAAGAGTGCAGCTGTTAATTATGTGATAATTTGGGGAGGGGGAGGAATGCAATAGAAATAAATAAGAATATGAAACACAGTAATATTAGATCATAAAGGTCCATCAAGAACAGTGTGCGGGAAGCCTCTTAACAAAATTGTATTAATTTGGAGCTAATTTGTGTAATTGGGTTTATATCGGAAAATCAATAGCAATAATTGGCAGCACAACACATTGCTTTCGTACCTGCGCATCCATTAAGAGGTGTCTCATGAGCGCCATGGAGTTCTTCAGTGTGTCTTTCTCATTGGGCAGGAAGGTGTTGTCATCTTCACTGAGCGCTTTGGCCTTGTTCATGATGAAGTCTGAGATCTGGTCGTTCAAGGTGTGTAGTGACTGCACAGCTAAGGAGAAAAGACAAGAGGGGAGCTCTTGAGACTAGGGGTGGCTGATCAGGGACAATGCAGTCCAAAAGTAACTGAAGTATCTGAGGTTGAAAAGCACTGCCGTGAATAATACTGAGTTAGATGGTGAAATGGTCTAACTCGGTAGAAGGCAGCTATCTATTTAAATCATCCCTTTATTCAGAACCATGAGACTGGGAAATATTACTTTATTGATGGGTTGGGAGGTGGACCAACTGTTTAATTATCTGTTCCAGGTCCTCATCTGGAGTTGATGTCAAGCTGACAGGTTGGTAGTGGCCCAGGTTCTCTCCCAACCCCCCTTTTATGAAGAAGGGGGCGGCAATTGCCCACCTCCAGTTGACAGGGTCCTCACCTGTTCTCCAAGAACTCAAAGATTATAGACAGTGGCTCTGAGATTACATTTCATTGGATGCAGTTCATTAAGATATAGAGACAACTGAAACCACAAGTCATTCCCTCCTTGGTTCCTTGTTGGTTTTTGCTGCCTATCTCAGGTTCCTTTACCACCACCCCAGTTTCCTGTGCACCCCAGTATTTGCTGTCCCCCCATCCTACTATTCTGTTGTTTTTCTTGTTTGGGAGAGTGCCTACTAAAAGCATGGGTGTGTGGACTCCTGTAAATGCCGTCTTATCAGGAGGTCCATTTGGTATGGTTTAGCAGTGGTTGGGAACAGTTGATCCTCCAGATGCCAATGAACAGCAACTCCCATCAGCCCCAGCAAGTATGGCCAAGAGCAAAGGATGATGGGAGTTGGAGTTCAGCAACATCTGGAGGACCAAAGGCTCCCCACATCTGCAATATTGGGATTAGGTCTTTAGCATTGTGGCACTTACTATCAGGAATGCCATTCAATATCTACTGAAGTCCTTCCTTTTTTGACAAGCTTCATCTTAGCCTGCATTCATATTGGATTTGAAAGTCTTTTTTTGCATATGACATTTTTCATTGTTTTTAATATATGGAATTTCTCTCCCCCCCCCCAATTATTGTTTTCTTTTATTATTGTTTTTGCACATATGGAACTGCTTTCCCCCCATATGGAATTGTTTTTCATTGTTGATGCTTTGCTGTGAAATCACTTTGAGATATTGTATGGGAAGTGATTCATAAGTGGAATAAAACAAATAAACAGACAGACTTGTGGAGGGCATCATATCATTAAGCAGCATTTTGTGTGTGTGTTTCTCATCATTGATATATGTATCTATAGTGGTAAAAAGGAAAACACTTCTGTCCATCTGAAACTGAACTTTAAAAGATTAATGAATTAAAATTCAAAGATTTTAAGGCAATATTCATAAAATTTACACAATTGGCTTACTAAGAAGGAAAATGTTCTGTAATATACTACTCAATCAAAGCGTGAAACATCCTAAGAGGTTTAAATAGAGCAGGGGGAGACATGATTTGGAATTATGAGCCTGAGAAATATACAGTCTGAGCATGCACAGAGTGCATCTGCCTCCCCCGTGAGGAATCTCTGTTTGTATTTAATGATTCCACAACAATAACTTCAGCCTGAAATATAAACTTGCTGAGTTGCGTCTCTTGCTAGTCCTACTCAGAGTAGACCCATTGAAATGAATGAGCACGACTAATGTAGGTGGTTCATGGTGCAATGGGTCTACCCTGAGTAGTGCTAGCACTGGACACAACACTATCAGTGCTATTCTTTTACCAAAATGTCAAGAGCAGCTGAGCAGCCCCCCCCCCCCAAATAAGTGGTTCTAGCACAAACAGATAGCAATCACTGCAATGTTAAGGGGAAACAGCCAGTGTTTTGTGTGTCCTAGTTCACTGGAGCCTAGAGTAGTTCAAGTCCAGGTTTTACAAAAACATTACAAGGCAGGCAGCATCCATTGCTGACCATGTCTCAGCATGACAAGAAGGAAGGAAGGAAGGAAGGAAGGAAGGAAGGTAGAGAGAGAGAAAGCCTGTCTTTTTTTTCCCCCTTCCTTCCTTCCTTCCTTCCTTCCTTCCTTCCTTCCTTCCCTCTTAGCACAATTATGCAATCTTATTAATTCCACCAGCTTTTACTGAGGGTGAAGAGCTACAGGAAATGTGGCAAAAAAACCATTTTTTAAAAAACACAATTTGTCACACCAATCATCCCCATGGCTCAAACTCCAGGGTGAGAGAGGGACAACAGCAAGAAGAAAACAGAGAAATTGAGGGAGAAAGACTTTCATGCTAAAAGTGCCTTGAGAAGCAGGAATCTGGTCCTGATGCAAAAAAGTGAGATCTGCATCCAATGAATGCTATGTGCATTGATTCAGCAACACTCCCGGCACCCGCCAATCCCTTTATGTTAAATCTGACTTGAGAGATATCCTCAAGCTATGAGGGAATCCTGCCCTCATCTGGACAAGGAAATAATGTTCCACAAATATCCTAGCACTTGGGTGCTTTCCTTCATAGCCAATGTCTAATTATGTTGTCAGCTCCCCATGGAATTTAGAATGGACAAATCGGTCTATGTATAGCTCATCTCATTTTCACAAGTCATAAGTGCATTCTGCTCAGATATTTAAATATACATTTCTATGTAGAGATGGGGGAGAAATCTGGCTCCTTTCAGGTTTCACACTTCCCAAAACAAAGCTCAAACTGAAACGCAGCCATCCTTCGAAATTCACACTTTTCACAGTGCTCTAACCAAATGTGCATATTCTGGGAAGGTGTGCATAGCATATAAATGCAATCTAAATATAAATGCATCAAATTAGAGGGAAATGGATTGCCAAACATGCACACTGAGCAAAATTGCATTCAGAAATGTGTGTGTTTGTCCTAAAATGCTGGGTAATTTTTTATGGCAATCTGGAAACTTATGCAAAAACACAGAGAACTGAAATCAAGATCAGAAAGATGAGAAATTGTGATAAAGCAAAGCGGACTGATTTGTTGGTGCCTGTTTTAAGCCTCCACTGGGAATCTGGAGCTCAGAATCCTTAGTCCAGACTCAAGCTCAGGCAAACACAGACAAATAACAGAATTCATCCCAGACTGACATTGGAGAGGAAAATGATGTCAATGGGACCCCAAGGAGGTGGGTTGGGTAGAGTTCTGGACATGCAACATGGAGTAAAGGTTAAAAAAAGGTAAAGGACCCCTGGATGGTTAATTCCAGTCAAAGGCGACTATGGGGCTGCGGTGCTCATCTCGCTTTCAGGCCAAAGGAGCCAGCGTTTGCCCACAGACAGCTTTCCAGGTCATGTGGCCAGCATGACTAAAACCGCTTCTGGCACAACAGGGCACCGTGACAGAAACCAGAGCGCACAGAAACACCGTTTACCTTCCAGCCACAGCAGTACCTATTTATCTACTTGCACTGGTGTGCTTTTGAACTGCTAGGTTGGCAGGAGCTGGGACAGAGCAACAGGAGCTCACCACCGTCACGAGGATTCGAACCGCTGACCTTCCGATCGGCAACCCAAGTGGCTCAGTGGTTTAGACCACAGCGCCACCTGCTTCCATGGAAGTACCAGGGAGCTGCTTGAAGCACACCTACATACCTGCCTTGGTTCTTCTAGCAACACTGCTCCATTTTACTTCTGTTTGCTGACCCTTTGGAAAAGGAGGCTTGATGCAATTTCTTCCTTTCTTTGTTTAAAAAGAATGTTTTTTTTCTTCTTTTGGCCAGTACAATCCAGCGGCTCATATAGTCAGTGGGATGATACCGCAGTTGCCTGATGACAAGGATCTTCTGCTACATGTGACCACGTTGTTGTTGTTTAGTCGTTTAGTCGTGTCCGACTCTTCGTGACCCCATGGACCAGAGCACGCCAGGCACTCCTGTCTTCCAATGCCTCCCGCAGTTTGGTCAAACTCATGCTGGTAGCTTCGAGAACACTGTCCAACCATCTCATCCTCTGTCGTCCCCTTCTCCTTGTGCCCTCCATCTTTCCTAACATCAGGGTCTTTTCCAGGGAGTCTTCTCTTCTCATGAGGTGGCCAAAGTATTGGAGCCTCAGCTTCAGGGTCTGTCCTTCCAGTGAGCACTCAGGGCTGATTTCCTTAAGAATGGATGTGACCACACCTGACAGCTAAATTAGAATGAGGGCAATACTTTCTACCCGCACTTAGAATAGGAAAATATTTGGCCCCATTTTGCGTAATTTTTGCACAATTTTTCTCCAGTGTGGTGTAGTGGTTAAGAGCGGTAGTCTCGTAATCTGGGGCACCGGGTTCGCGTTTCCGCTCCTCCACATGCAGCTGCTGGGTGACCTTTGGCCAGTCACACTTCTCTGAAGTCTCTCAGCCCCACTCACCTCACAGAGTGTTTGTTGTGGGGGAGGAAGGGAAAGGAGAATGTTAGCCGCTTTGAGACTCCTGAAGGGGAGTGAAAGGCGGGATATCAAATCCAAACTCCTCCTCCTCCTCCTCCTCCTCCACCACCACCTCCTCCTCCTCCTCTTCTTCTTCTTCTTCTTCCCCGCAGTCTACCCTGAGTGGCAGTGGATTTCCAGGGCTTCAGGGAGGTGTCTCTCCCAGCCATACCTGGACATGCCAAGGATTGGGACCTTCTGCATGCCAAGCAGATGCTCTACCAGTGAGTAAGACCCCTGCTGGAACTGTGCTTCCTGCATTCAGATAATAAAGAAAAATATGCATTTAAAATATGAAGCTTTGGGCTTTCACAACGTTATCACTCATTTCCCTTTCAAAATGAATTATACACCTTTCATCTCAGAGCCTGTGCTATGGAAGGAGAGGGTAGCCAGCGGTCGATAGTTTGCTAATGGAGCATCAGCTTAAAATTACTCCTGTCCCTCTTGGAGAAACGAAGCTTTTAACAATTGCCCATTAGGGTCGTTAGCAGCGGTAATATTGCACATTGTTGGCTTGCATAATTTTCTGTGAGAATTGCTAATTTGGGACCCAAGCGGCAGATTTTTTTGATTTTTTTTTTAAAGAAAGAATTAATTATGGGGTTAATGTGGCTTTTCCGCAAGTCAACTCTCACTCTCCATTG